TATAGGGGTTATTTCGGGATAATGGAAAAGGAAACGGAAACTACTATATTATATAGGGATTATATATGGCATGTGCTTCAACATGATGGATTCTGGGGAAGCCACCTTTTTCAGTGTTCGTTGCTGGGCACTTTTCAAGAATAATGCATATGCGTATCATGACGGGAACGCCCAGGTTCGCTGCTATTTGCAGTATCCTGGACACATCAGCTGAAGAGAGTAGGCAGTTATGTGGGGATTTCCGGGGTCCCCATAATAAGGATTACAATATATTAGGGTCTGGGTACCCCTATTTTGGGAAATTACCATGTCTCTACTAAAAAGTGTAGTTTTGTTTGGCGCAGGGATGTCCATTAGAATCGGAAATTAGACAGAATGCAGAAATGTGCTTCGAGGATCTCTTGACTTAGTAAGGCTACTTCGTCACAGGGGTTATGGACTGTGTAATAGGGTGTTTTTGGGCTGGTAGGCAGACTTACTAATGCGATACATCCAATTAGGGGGGGAATGACCGTCATATGTACATCTCCCTACACATCTTCATATAACCCCTTCAAGAGAATCCATTTTCTTGGACCCTGACGCCCCCCAAACCCTGAACCCTCAATCCTAAATCGTAAGTCCGACGCCCCAATTACCCTAAATCCCAAGCCCTAAAGCCCCGGAGGAGAAAGGTCCGACAAAACGCCCTAAGTCCTAGACCCTTAACCTCAAACTCTAAACCCTACACCCCAAGCCCTCTGCCCTACGCCCTACCCATTTTTTGCCAGGCCAGCAAGCTTAGGCTTCACGCAAGCGCTAGGCCTGGCTGCCCCGATAGCCGCTTGCTGAGCTCCAAAGGGCTTGGGGGTTTAGGGTCAGTGTTTCCGGCGTCCAAAAACAGAAGCAGAAATAGTAGGAGTCAGAGTATTACTGAAAGCAAATTTAGCAGTGAAAGACAGAAAGAGCAATAGGTTTGCGGTGTCCCAGAATGTGGCAAGTGGCTTTTGATTTGGGCCGTGAGGTGTTCGTCACTTTGTTTCGTTGGACTTGACCGAAACTATGCGTTCTTGGCAAAAACTATGAGTTTTGGCAGGATTTGTCTTTTCACCCGCAGACCCTGGATCCCAAGCCCCATAAACCCTCCCAAACCCCTTTGCCCCATGAGCCCCTATAAACGCTAAGCCGCAAACTCAAAATCTGAAAGCGTCTGAGGCCCTGCTTGGCACTTCTCGGGAGCTCTGAGATGCGAAAACCGCTTTCAATTCTGCCCTCCGGGCTTAGCACTTCGGGTTTAGGATTGGAATTTGGGGATGTTCAGGGTTTGGGATTTAGGTCTTATTGTGGCTTAGGGTGTAGGCGGGTTGGACTTAGAGAGGGTGTGGATTTGGGAATCAGGGTTCAGGGTTTAGGGATCCCCTAAACCCTAAACCCTAAGTTCAGGGTTTGTGTCGGAGCAATGAAAGGGCTGACTAGAAGCCCATTGCGAGTGGGTGGTTATCAGTTGGGTGGTCAGTGGTTTCCTACGGGGTTCCCGGCTCACTCCTGTAGGTTCTGGGGGTCTCTGGGGGTCGAACACCCTAAGCCTTAAACCCTAAACTCCATCCCTAAACCTTAAACCCTTATGGGTGCTTTCCCACCTGTAGTCAGCCACCCGTAGATGGCTTCTAATCTATCATCGATCTAAATCAGGCAAAATTTTCCTTAAATCAGCCTAGTTAAGGGGGAGCCTAGGGGGTAGTCCAGGGACGGATAGTAGGAGAACTCATGAGACTAGACATAAAGCATGTGCTCATAGCATTCAGAGTTTAGGTGGGATGTAGGTTGGGTACTGCCCCCGCTCGGTAGCAGTTGGAGAGTACTACTTGCAATATCTGGATGTATAGCCCTTAAGACTTGCTGGGGGTGAGTCGGGATATTGTTTAGAGATATCTAGGGATCATATTCTCTTTTTCCACTAACCAACCACCTCAGCCCTAAATATTCTCTTACTACCGGCTAATCACCAGTAAGGGGATGGTAGGTGTGTGGGCGTGCGATACCAACCCTAAACCCTAAACTCTAAACCCTAAACCCTACACCGCTTGGCGTCTAAAAAGGGGCTGGGGTGCCAGGATCATGGGTTCAGCAACCTTTGGACCTGAGGTTTGCGACTTTTTAGAGTTTAGGGTTTAGGGTTTAAGGTTTTGGGGCCTTGGGGTAGGGTTTATCAACTATAAACGCTACACTAAACTCAAATTCTAAATCCAAGCTGTTTCATCAGAAGAAGCATACGGGTTGGACTCTCACTCCTCTGCATGGAGGGCTACTTGATATAGTCCCCCTTTAGTAGATAGAGAATATGGGGTATATGGGGATCTTATTACAATATCCCCAAAGCCATATTCTATCTTCTTAAGGGGGACTCTGCACCCTAAACCTTAAGCCCTAATTTGTAGTTTCCATTTTCTTTTCCATTATCCCCATATAAACCCATTATAACCCTAATATTCTATCTACTTAAGGTGGACTTTGATCACTGAAAATAATCACGGCGAGGGTTAGCATCAGGCTGTGAGGGTTCAACTTTAGGAGACAGAAGCCCCCAGCTGTGAAAAAGCAACAGTCCTTTATATAGGGATTACAGGGTATATCTTGGGTATTATTTTTTGGGGTAATATTTGGGGTAAAATTTGGGATAATATTTGGGGTAATATGTTTGCAATTTTCTTGGGGGAAAGTCTTGTAGAGGGTTTAACTTAGGAGCCAGAAGCCCCAAGCCCCAAGCCTAAAACTAACCTTAAGGTTAACCCTAAAAACTTTTCCTCCCACACCCTAACTCCTAAACCTTAACCAAAGAAGTCCAATCCAGGCTCCTTAGATCTCACCTCTGCATGCGTCCACAAACTGTGGACACATCTGCGTAGCATTTTTGATGCCGAGTGCAGGGTTCTTAGAGACTCCCTAACTTGGGCTATAACTGTTTAGATGCAGTTGGGGGTGGGTTTTGAAAAAGCTTGCGCTTTGATTAAAATGTGGTTATCGGGTCACACCTGGGGGATTGCAGAGCACTCTATTACCAAAAAAACCCTATGTTACCCCTAATATTACCCCAAGATATACCCTGTGATCCCTGTATACACCCTGTATAATCCCTAGAATCCCTGTAGTTTCCATTTTATTTTCTATTATCCCTGTGTGAGCAGCGGAAGCCCTTAAGAGCTGTTTGCCACAGTGCATTGCCCCATATCCAACATCCTTTCTTGTGGGTGGTTGGACTGGGTGCAGGTGGGCACAAGTACTAAGTAATAAGGGTGCTCGCAGGTTATGAGCGCCAAGTTTACGCACGCTGCGTTTCTTCGTGGAAGGTTGCCGGGACTCAAGGTCTGGTGGCATACCATTCCTGGGGGCTGCTGGGAACTAGGGGGGTTGCCTGGCGGGTGGCCTGGACTCTGGGGTGGCTTGGCCAAGGGTGGTGTCATTGAGGTTGCAGTAGCAACACTAGTAGCCGCAGCAGCAGCAGTAACAGCAGCAGTAATAGAAGCATCAGCAGTAGCAGCTGCAACAACAGTAGCAGTAGTACTAGCAGTAGCAGTAGCAGTAAGAGTAGTAGTAGCAGTAGTCGTAGCAGTAGCAGTAGCAGTAAGAGCAGCATCAACTGTAGCAGCAGCAGCAGTAGCAGTAACAGCAGCAGTAAACTTGCAGTAGCAGTATTAGTAGCAGTAAGGGCAACAGTAGCAGCAGCAGAACCGGTAGCATTGGCCGGTAGTTGGAGGAAAAAATTTGTTTGGGCGTGCTTCTGCGAGGTCAATGCGCATCTTACGATGGTCCTGCAGTTTGGGAGAGCTGTGTTTTGGCGTCCTTTTTTTTGGTCCTGGCGCGTATTGCGATGGACCTCCAGTCTGGGAAGCCTGTGTTTTGGCGTTTTTCCTTTGGCTTTTGCGTGTGTTGCGGTGGGCCTGTACTGTGGCAAGGCTGCGTTTTCGCATGCTTCTGCAAGCTTTTTGCACGTGTCGTGATTGGCTTGCAATGTGGGAAAGCGTGTCTTGGCGTGCTTCCGTTTGGTCTTGCACGTGCCACGATGGGCCTGTAGTTTGGGAAAGCTGTTTTGTTTTTGCGTGTACCGTGATGGGAATGTAGTTCACAAAGGAAACTGCGTTTTAAGACTGCAATACTGCTACTCCCAAGGCATGAGGTACTTGGGGTCAGCAGGATTTTTAACGTCAATGGTGGGGCAACATCGCAAACCTTTTTTTGCCAATGGAGGGTTTAGAGACTAGGGCTTACAGGTTTAGATTTCAGGTTTGGGGTGTAACGTTTACTGCTGAGAGCAAAATTACGGCTAGCTGGAGAAAACCTTGCACCACCTTGGAAACTAAACTGCTTGGAGGGTAATGGTGGATTCGAAAGTGGGTGAATCATGAGCAGAATTGGGGTTGTTATATGGCTTATGGGAGTTATTGACCTACTTACTAAGTCCCCATAACCTTCCAAGTATCCCCTGAGGACGTGCTGCCCCAAAAACTTGAACTACAAGTGCAAACGCAAAAGTCCTAAGTACCCTAGACCCTAAATCCTAAACCAGTTGCTGAGGACTTCTAGCGATTTGGATGTAGCTGGCAGGATTCCACGGGACATTCTAGGGGATATGTACGGGTATATAGGGCTACATAGGGTTATATAGGGTTAGAAAGTGTTATATAGGGTTATATAGCATAATAGAAAATGAAAACTATGATAGCACATTGGGGTTATGTACGGATAATGGAAATGGAAACTGCTACAGTATATTGGGGTTATATAAGGATAATGCAAAAGATAATGGAAACTACTGGTCATAATGGGGTTATTTAAGGTTTAATGTGTAGGTTCTGGGTTCCTTTCAGCAAAAAGCCACCCCTTGGTGGAGCTACAAAGAGATTGAATTAGGGTTTAAGGATCATGTAGTCCCTACCCAAGACCTTAGCTGGGTTGTTGTGCAACTTCCCCAACACTGAGGAACCATAATAAAACCCTGAACTTTGAACCCGCCAACCACTCAGCTGCAATCAAGAATGCTACCCATTTGCTTGTTCGAGTGCGCCAAGCGTATACCCACCAGCCGCCGGCTGAATCTCGGTATGTTTTTTTTGAGAAGTATTTGGATGCAGTAGCGACTGGACCACACCGCGGAGGTGCTGCTTGTTGAGAGACGCTTGCCACTTTGGTTGTTACTTACGAGTCACTATAAACTCACGATGCTTGAAGAGACGTCATGATGATGTGTTGTGGAGATTCTTCCCTAGTATGACCTCTCATGCAGTTTGTAGCTGAGCCCGCAGACTTTTGAGATTTCCAACTGTGGGTTTGCATGGTTGACGGTGTGGCAGCTTTGTGGCCCGGTGGACAGACAGCTTGCCCCATAATGCGATTGCCAGCCTTCGAACCCCAGACCCCTGGGACGATCTGAAAATTAGATCCTTGTATATGCCCATCATAAGCCTTTCACAATCCTTATATGGTAGTTTCCCTATATCGGTGGACCCCAATATGGCCCCCAACATATTTTTTTATCCTTATTATAGGGACCCACCAAAAAAAGTAACCCAAATTTTGGGAAACCCGCATATAATTTCCCGTATGATTCTAGGGGATTTATTTTTTTGATGTCTAGGACGAGGATACTGTGCAAGGCTTCAGCTCCTCCGTCATAGTAGTATACTTTAATATATTATGGTATATTATAGTATACTATCGTATATGATAGTATATTTGGGTTAAATTGGGACAATACAGGGCAATATAGGGATTATAGTGACTATATTGGGGTTATATAGGGATTATGGGGAGTATATTGGGGTATGGTCTTCACACATCTCCGGGGTCCTCAACGGCCCCCAATTTGCTCTGTTTTGAAAAAGTCTCCATGTAACATACCATGTATTTTCATTCAGAAGCTGGATTTGCCGACAGCTTTTGGTGAAGCTGGCTGCACCGTTCGCGCGCCCCGAAGCAAAAGCGTCTGATCATGTGGGGGTTTCTAAGAAGAGGTCCTTTTAGCATTAAAGCCCCGCGCTCTTTATTCCTCAGCGCTCACAATCACACCATACATGTGTCAACCTGGCACCCCATCAGGTCGCCCAGCTGATGCGTCTAAAGGGTTCCGTGCCTCAGGGTGGCTGGGGTCAAGTGACTTTAGAGTTTGGAGCTTTGGCGTTTTTGCGGCAGCCGTTCAATTGGGGTACCAGAGACAGGAAACAGGACCCTGACCCCAGCTTCACTTTGTA